GTATTTAGTCACAGTTTTTCAGAGGTCTTAACTGGCCTTGAAGCTGTTGAAGGTGGAAACTGAGGGGATCTACCACTCAACTACGGTCCTTCTGAAAATGGTGTGGGATTTGGGCGATCCAGGTCTTGACTGTCTGCTCTGCCATGAACATTGGGAGAAAGCTAGAGAGGTTACTGTCTTCGTTCATAAATTACCTCACAACGTTGCTGTTGTGTCAACAGCTGGAAGAAAACTGGATATAAGCATAACTAGCAAGTATTCTGGACTGTATATAATACAGTGCAGTTAGTAATGATGCTAGTTTGTTGGCTTTCGAATTAGAAGTGTGCAGGCTTGTTTTTGGCCTCTCGGGCCACAATGCTGCATCTCCCTAGGGGATTCTGGGACTCGTAGTCCAAAAGCACACATTTGCTTACCTTTGGAGTTCACAAAGATGTTTTGCTGTTATAGCAAAACCGGCAGAGTCTTGTGGTGTGTTAAAGACTAACAAGTTATATTTGGCTACTCGATAGCTCAGTGGTTTAGATCTCTGACAGCAGAGCCATAGGTTGGGAGTTCGATTCCCCACTGTGCCTCCTTGACAGGGGCTGGACTTTATGATCCCTAGGGTCCCTTCCAGCTCTGCAGTTGTAAGATGAAAATGATAATTACTCATTGACTGTCTTGTGACACTTTAAAGGCAGTGAATTATTTGGCTCAAGTTTGTTAGTCTTCAAAGTGCTGCAGAACTTTATTAGTTCTGCAACAGGCTATAACAGAACTGCCCCACCACAAAGCACGTCCTATGGTTATAGAAGAGGAGTACGATATGAGTTTGTTCTTTTTACTTCCAGCTCTGTAGTTGTAAGATGATGATGATAATTACTCATTGACTGTCTTGTGGCACTTTAAAGGCGGTGAAGTATTTGGCCCAAGTTTATTAGTCTTCAAAGTGCTGCAAAACTTTCTTGGTTCTGCAACAGACTATGATAGAACTGCTCCACCACAAAGCATGTCCTATGGTTATAGATATGAGTTTGGTTTTTTTTAAAATGCTTTAGACTGAAAAATATTGCTAGCCAACCGTTAGCTGTAGCACCTCATTAAAACTGTGGGAATCAACCTAATCTTTTCAAACAGCTTGAGACAGTGGTTTTTATCTGGATCTCTCTAAAGCTGTTGGCAAGACCAAAAAAAATTATGCTTCACAAAAAAAAAGCCAGCACTTCTAAAATGGAGATGGAAAAACAAGATCTTGATTAAAGCATAGAGGAAAACATAATGACAGAAGACATAATCAAAGTCTAGTCAATGATGGATCCAACTCATTAGATCCCTTTTTATAATAGCAAACCAGTGTACGAGTTCACAGCCTGCTGATTGTAATGTTAGATGTAATTCCTAGGTGTCTTTTTCAGGGTGACAAAAGTGGATCAGTTTCTGGTCATTTCAAACAGAACAGTAACTAAAAGTTTCTTCTTCTTGATTCACACAATAAATTCACTGAAAACAGTTTCAAACAGAACAGTAACTAAAAGTTTCTTTTCTTCTTCTTGGTTTACACAAGAAATTCACTGAAAACAGCCAAGCATGAAACATATCTGGGAAGATTCTCAGCCATCCAGGTGAGGTTATCTGGAAGTTGAGTCATAGCACCTGGCCTTCTTTCTTGTTAGGCTGAAACGTTCTGCTACTCATCCAAGTAGCTTCTTCAGTCTCAGGAAAGTTGGTAGGAGAACACTCATAGGTCCTCGAGGGTCTCCTACCAGCTGTCTTCAGACTGAAGAAGCTACTTGGATGAGTAGCAGAATGTTTCAACCTAACAAGAAAGAAGTCCAGTTCCCATGACTCAGCTTCCAGATAAAGCATGAAGCCTGCAGTATGACCCCCTAAGGAAAGTATGGGCTATTCTTAAATCTACTCCTACAGATTGACATTGGTAGTACGTGTTGGTTTTGACTGTTTGTATAAGGAATAAGGCTAACTCAAATGTTGTTGTAATTGAATCAGCCAGTTGTTTGTTTGTTTGTTGTTGGTCCTAAGGTGGCAGACAAGAAACATTTCCTGCTTCTCAATTGGGTGTGATAGTTGGATTCAGGAGATCCCGCTTCAAATCGCTGTTTGGCTGGGAAATGGCAAAAATAAACCACTCCTTGAGCACACCACATATAATCCTGTAATGGGTGCCGTAAGTCAGAAGGAAGTTGGTGGCACATACTAACAAGACACATCGTTTGCAGTGTTTTACCTCCCAGATATTATGATGGACTTCAACTCCCAGGATGTTTGAGCTTTGACCCATACTAGTTGAGGGTTCTGAGAATTGTTGTTGATAGATGGACCAATGATGCAATTCCTGGTAAACTAAATCCCTCTGTTCCCTCTACTCCAGGTGCGTCTTTTTAACTGATCCTACCAGTAAAGTCTCTGCACTCTTCAGCTTCTCTGCTTGCCCCCACCCTTCTCTCAGCTGACCATCATCAGGCAGTCACACCTGCCTCATTCTTGAACTCTCCAGGCTGGCTTTGGGGTTGCATCCTTATTTATTACTTATTTTATTTATTCGTTTAATTTATATGCCGCCCACAGTGCCCAAAGGTCTCTGAGTGGCTTACATCAATTTAGATGCAATAAAAGATATAATGATAAAACAATGAAAATACAATGAAAAATACAGTACTCTTAAAAAATTGCCATCAAGACCCACAGTTGATATTATTTCAGTTAAAAAATCTGCTGGAATCTTCTTATAACTCACAAGCACTCATTTCTCTGCTGGTGAAGTCAGAGCTGTGGCCGTCGTGTTACCCATGCTGGAAACTGTGTCATCCTGGAGTGATTTTTTTGCCTGAGTGTGACAGGTAGAGACTTTATCTTGGATTGTGTGTTTGTACATTATCATACAGGGGGAGCGGTTTATAAAGATGTGTAAATAAATAGCTAGACAAAACTTCCATTATTGGAGCCACAAACTAGCTGGAGGTGATGGATTGGCAGTCCCACATAATCAGAGTTAGGGATGTCTTTCCTTTGTACAGAGGGCTGAAGAACGGCTTAACGGTTGAACATTTTGAGCATGGTTTGCTTCAATTCTTTGACCAGTCATTCCTGCTTTCCTCATGAGCTGGTGAGATATCTTGTGGAGGTTCTGACAATAGGAGAGCACCGCAGAATATCTCACCTACTCATGAGGAAAATGAACCAAAGCATGCTCAAATAATACTTATCAGGCAAATAGTGTTTTAATTCAATTTGTGTTAAGTTCCAGCCTTACATAATTCCTCCTTCCCTTTTTGAAGCTCCCAAAATCTCTGTGTGTGTGTTCTAGGTTCCCGGCATTTTTAAATGGGAGGTAATCAAACAGACAGCAGAGCTAAAAACCACCCACTTCCTTGACACACTAGAGAGCTTTGGATTTAGATTGGCTCCTTTGTGTGTTGTGCAAATCCCAGGATCCTGCCAGCATAGTGGATGATGGGAGTTGTAGGTGAACACATCTGTAGATGAACCCATTTAGAAAGGGCTGGTCCAGGTAGTAACATAACCTCTCATAACTATGAGCCT